CCCCCCATCCTTTTCTCTCCCTCAGTTTGGGCAATAGAAAAAGTAGAGTGAGCTTCCTTTTCACTTTTAATTGTGGTTTCCTACTTTCACACTCAAGTATTTCATGTTCTAGAACAGTTCCACAGTGTTTCTGTGGAAGACATCTCTGAGGATCATTCATTTGATTTTAGCACTTCTCCAGAGGTGCTGGAGGGAAAAATTAATTCAGTAAAATTTAAGTTCTGTTAGGCACTTAGCTGATCATAGTGTGTTAAGGAGATGGAGTCCCATGGAGATACATCTATTTTACTCAATGCATAGAAGGTGCCTAGATAGCACTAAAGTAGATATCGAAGTTCTATACCTACCATGAACAAGGACAAATCTGGGCAAAATCATAGGATTTCTTTTCGTTTTTGTAGATTTCCTTACACAAGCAAGTAGGGATTCATTAGTTCCTAGCATGTTTTCTCACCATGATGGCAATGTCCTTACGGACCTCAAGAGGAACAGCATCATGCCGTAAGCCCTCTATTTCCTTCCATACAGTTAGAAGGCAAGGCTGATCTTGTTAATTTAGTTTGACTCCCTCACATCGTGGCTGTAAATGCTCTCAGATATTTGTCATAGTCCCTAGGTTTAGTCTAAAGCTGGACATCCAAGAAGTAATGCATAATAACTAGTTCGAGAAAGCTGTGATATAGACACATATGTATGAGGGATTTTATCCTTGGCTTCCTTTATACCTAGCTGAGAAAAGTACACACTTTCATGGCATCATTCATCCCTACTGTGAGGTGAGATAAACTGAATGTTGTGAGTGCCTTTTTGTCTCCACCGATTATAGGCAGAGGAGGGTGATTAATCCAGTTGAAGTCACGTACAATGCAAAATTCCACCGTTACATTCCAACTATTATCTGTGGAGAATGACAGGCACTTCCAGATGATCCCTTCTACCTGTCCCAGATGCTTGGTGGGCAAGTTAAGTAACCACCCATAGGTATCTAGTGCTGTCTTCTGGGCTTCTCCAGGGGAGTCCAGTTCTCCAATAGGTTTTACGTCATATCTGTCAGAACTCTGTGGCTGTCTTAGGCTAAAACATCTCAAATGGCTCTAAACACTTACACATGGACAACTATATTTCCTACCATAGAAAGAGATGAATTGTCCCTTAGAAGAAAAGGTCTGGTTCTGCTGATCGTAAAAGGAGTTTAGATGGCCAGCATAACCCCACCCCATAATACCAATCCTTCCTAACTTTCTCAGTAAAGTGAAGTCAGAGAAACAAGAAAAAGCATGGAATAAAAGTCTTGTTGGAGAAGAAGTGAGAATGTGGCTGGGAAAAGCCTCTTGACTCAAAGAGGCTTGAGCTCAAACTATGACTCCAATGTTTTCTGTGTAAGGATGTGTAGTAGGTGGTAAAGTAATATTTCAAAAGTACATTAACAAGGGTATTATCACTTTGCTGCTGTGGACTAAGCCAATCTGTCTTATTTGTCATTTTGGTTTTATTTTATTTTTGGTAAGTGAGTGGATTCTGTTAGACCTCTGCACCTCAGCTGGATAAAGGCAATAAAGCTGCAGAAACAAGCTGTTGAAGAAAAGAAAGCATCGTAAAATCAAGGCAACACAAAAGGTGACTCCAATTGCCTGCATTGATCCTGTTGAACAGAGACCCAGGTATGGCAGACTGCAGTGTTGTGGGACCAGGGGCTGAGAAGATAGAGGACAGAAGCCCATGCTGTCATTTAATCGGAAGTTCACAGAGGGATCGGGGCTCTTATTGAAACTATCAAGGTTTTTTTTTTTCGTTTTAGTCTGCCATGCTCTTTTCACATGTGACACCATGGCTGCTGCTTGAATGGTCAGGACAGATTCCCAACAGGTTCTGGCCTCATTCCAGTGCAGCTTTATTGTACATTCCCACTTGGGGATAAGCAGCCCCCAACACTGAACGGTTCATTTGTCCCATGACCCAAGAATTCCTCTTTTGCCAGGTTCCCATATTGTTTTCCCAATGGTCAGTAGATCAGGCATGTCCGATGGATCAGAGGAAGCCCTTCTTTCAATCTATCCAGCATGCAAGCAAAGTCAGGATGCTGGAACTGTGTGTCCCACAACCAGTGTAATGGCCCTAACTCTGCTGCCGGAGAAGAAAGTGCTTCAGATTTCATGTGCCACCTCAGCCAAGTCCAGAAGTGCTTATAAAAAACAGTGTTAGTGTATCATTCAGAACAATCAAATACTACGTGCACGAAAAAGTAGTTTAGAGCAACATAAATTTTAAAAAAGTGACAATTTCATCACACAATTACTGTACACTGCTGTTCTTAGGGTTGAATACTTTCCTCTCTCACGCTCTCTCTTTCTCTCTGTTTTAATCTTTCTCTTTTTTATTTTATTTTTTTCTCTTTTTTTTTTTTTTTTTTTTTTTTTTTTTTTTTTTTCTCTTTTTTCCCCTTTTTTTTTTTTTTTGGATTTGGTCCACTGGAGATAAATCGCCCTCAATGATATATATATTTAAAAAAAATATCAGCAGCAAGACTCTCTTGAAATAGATTCTGTTTGATGTAGCTAGTCTGTCTTTTCTGTTTTGCCCTCTTTCACAGCAGCCTCTGAAGTTTTCCGCAGGGGGGCTTTCTCCGAGTTGGCGTGTCCTTGGCCAGATTCCGCTGCTCCTCCGTTTTTGTGCGATGTGTGCTTTTCCAAGTAGTTCAGCATTTCACTGAGAACAGTTTGGAAAGTGCTTAGGGCAGCACATATTGCAGGAGTTCCAAAACCATGAGTGATCAAACTACAAATGGGAAGGAGACAGAAAAAGAAAAAGAAATACACACATGCACATAAATATAAATGCACTCACATACATAGGAGAGTTTACAGTACACTCGTTTTGCTATAGTGAAATTCAAGATTTGCTCCCTAAACTATTTATTATCTATGGGAGAAACAGAAAAGGAAAGAGAAGAGCTGAAGAGGAGACTACATAAGGCTTCAAAGGTTGGTTTTGGTAGGAGTCTCAGTTCTGAAACATCGTGGGACGGATGCAGACTGTTCACAGTGTTGTTGACTTCAGACAGGCCAAGAGAGGATCCATACCTCAGCCTCTCCAGCATTACTACTTCTCCAGCCCCAGAAGGTTTGCTTCTTTATTTACCCTTCTCAGGTAAATAAAACCAGGTCTGTGTGGTTTATTCACTCTTCTAGCTCAGGCTCTCGAACAAGACCTGGTTATTCTATGTGGGTGTATGACTGCACGTGTACTAGGAAATTAAGTAATGTCAGGGATGCAATCTCTGACCCTCAGCACAACTGGCATGGTTTGGCCGTATCTGTGCTGCTAAGTCCTCTGATCATCCACACTTCTTGTTGGGAATATTCTCTGGCCAATGCGAATGCTCAACCAATGCCTATGTTTCACGTAAGGCTAATTCAGCCAGGCTAAATGCACAGACCATCCTAACCTATTAATAGTTAAATTAACTAAGTTCCAACAACACTGGTGTTGAATTTGCCAGTATATATTTGCTCTGTTGCACCTTTCATCCAAATAAAGTTTTTTCAAGATAACACTGAATTTTTCTTCTTGTTCTTCTGCACTGCAAAGTAGCTGATTTTCAGTGGTACTCCTCACCTAACAGCTACTGAAATGATGTATTAATGCAGTTGTCTGGCAGAGCTATAGTGGGTTAATCTCAACTCAGTTTAGAGGAGCATTTCGGTGCACACATATGTACCTACAGCTGCTTGTGATCTTTTGGACATCCAGCCCATCTTCCACCTACATATCAGCAGTGTGCATGTTTCCCACAGGTCCTGTCGGTCAGATAGCACCTCTGTGAGGATGTCTCACCTACCTTAGGATGTTAGAAATGGCACTAGAGACCAATTTTTAGGCAATTGGCTTCAGCGCTTTCTGCCTAAATATTATGTGTACAGTATAAGATGTTCACATGAGGGCCAGGGAAACTCAAGTTGCACTAGACATCTTAGTATGGGCAACCAAACACAGAATCATAGAATGGTTTGGATTGGAAGTGACATGAAAGATCATCTAGTTCCAACATCCTGGCCATGGGCGGGGTCATTTTTTGCTAGCCCAGGTTGCTCAAAGCCCCGTCCAGCCTGGCCTTGAACACTTCCAGGGAGGGGGCAGCCACAGCTTCTCTGGGCAACCTGCTCCAGCGACTCATCATATCCACAGTAAAGAATTTTTTCCTTATATTGATTCTAAATCTACCTTCTTTCAGTTTAAAACTGTTACCCCTCATCCCATCCCTACACTCCCTGAAGAAGAGTCCCACTCCATCTTTCCTATAGCCCCTTTAAGTACTGGAAGGCTGCTATAAGGTCTTCCTGGAGCCTTCTCTTCTCCAGCTGAACCCCCCAACTCTCTCAGCCTGTCCTCACAGGGGAGGTGCTCCAGCCCCTGATCATCTCTGTGGCCTCCTCTGGACCCACTTGAGCAAGTCCATGTCCTTCTTATAGTGGGGGCCCCAGAGCTGGACACAGCACTGCAGGGTGGGTCTCACTAGAGCAGAGTAGAGGGAGAGAATCCCCTCCCTCGACCTGCTACCCACACTGCTCTTGACGCGGCCCAGTTGGCTTTTTGGGCTGCAAGCCCACATTGCCAGCTCATATTAAATTTTTCATTGACCAAGTTATTCTCATTGACTCATTTTAATAAATGATAAATGAAAAGAAACCACACCCAAACCCTCCAGATTTTAATTTTCATTTAGAAACATAACTGAAAAATTATTTCAAAGGTTGAAATCTCATAACGGTTTTTAAAAGACTGATTTCTGTTATCCCAGTTCTGCTTAGGGCAGAAAGAAGTCAAGGAGAGGAACAGAGGTTGATTTCTGAGTCTGCGGACATTTCTGAGATATCAATACTTTATATTGGTTTGGGCAAGGAAAAAAACCACAATAAAACAATACAGTGATTCTGATAAAACAGTAACTATTTCCCATGCCATGCTAGTTAAGGTCTTGTCTCTGCAGTAACTCTGCAGCACATCGGTAAACCCTGCTCTAATGCAGAGACTCGTGCATGGGTCAGAAATGGGAATGCTTCACATCAGTGGGTACACCTCTCCTCTGCACTTTGGCTTCTCAGACTTTTCAGGTGTTTTAGAAAAAAAGTGAAAAAGTAGGGATCAAGGTAAAAGGTTATACAGGACGTGCACCACTGTTAGGATGCTAGAAGTATTAAAATAAAAAACCAACAACCAAACAACATAGGAAAAACTTCAAGATATCTTTTAGGATGATCTTTTTGTCTGCTGGACATGGTAACCGTGTTTACCAGGAAAGTTGGTACCCTAGGGAAGACACCAAACATATGGGGATGAGAGCTCAGTTTGGAAAGATCTCTCCATTTCAGATTGGGAGTGGCCCAGTCTTTTATAAAAGGTCTCCCGAAGGCTATTAACAAATAACTCGCTTTTGGAATGTTTATCCATCAGTCTCCAGGCACTTTTCAAAACAGGAATTTATGTTTATCCCCAGTTAGTAATGAGAGGAAATTATAATTAAATATTTACAAGGACTATTTTGCAGACATCAATTAATAATACCACATAACTCTTGAAGTTTGAACTCTAAGCTTGGACTTGTAGTAATATCTGGATCTTTTAAAATTAGCTTTAAAAAGGGGTAAACAGATCTCACTTTTATTTATTTATTTATTTATTTATTTATTTATAAATGCCTGGTATAACAGGGAAATAAAAATCATCATTATCATCACCGTAAGTCATATTTTTTATAGTAGTAAATCCAGTATCAACAGTAGTATATAGGTAAGAGTATCTTTAGTCCTTTCAAGCCCTTTTATGAGTCAGGCAATTTCAAGATTTTGTGTTTCATTTTATCATCATTTCTAGTGATGATAAATGTGATGAATGATGAGAATGTAATGGCCCTTACAATAGCAGAAAGCAAGAAAAAGGAAATTCAAATATACCATTAATAGTTATAATATCTCATGATTTTTACACTGCTGTAGGATCTTCTGGGTTATGATGTGGGGAGCTGACTACACCGAGACAAAAATATTTATGATCTTGCATGTAAAGGAAACTAGTTTGTCTATTTTAAAAGTTGGCAATATCTGCAAACATTAATTTCCAGTAGATGCAAATAGTAAGTTTAACAAAGGATTTAATAGAAAATAAATCTTCTTGCCTGCTTTCTTTGAACCTTTCGACTCCTGAGCAAAAGGAATAGTACTGGGTTCATCCGATAGCTCAATACACCCTGAAGAGTAAAGCGGGAATACTACAGTGAAAATTTACAGAGATTGTCTCAGAAATGATCTGTAGGGCTAAGAACAAGGATAGAAAACTTTAATGTTCTCAAATGTTGAATGGGACTGTAGAAAATACCAGAAGGGGACAGAATCTGATATTAAGCGTAGGTGCCAACTTGTAGGTGTAGACATCAACTGTGCCATGACCATCCAAGCAGACTTAATGCATTTTCCTACATGTAAGAGCCTACAGTGATTTGAGATGTCCTACAACATCTGAAACAACTGCACAGATTTGCTAGATACGATATAGGACTTAAGTCCACCTTGCTTCTTGGTGTTTTGATGCCAGGCAAGTTGCCCTTGTGTATCTCACATGGCACTAGATAATGTTTAGGCAACTGAAATAAGCCCTGAGGCTTTAATCAATACAGTCAGAGAAGTATGGAGAATGATGTAGCACATGAAATGGATGTGTGTCCTTTATGGTGAGCTGTGACATTCTTTTGGCTCCATCAAGCTGAATAAAAATATGTGTTCGGTGCTATTTGAGATGCCCCTCCGTAACAAGACATCTCTGTCAGGTGCAGAGAGCTTACAGGAGAACAGCACCCTTTTAAAGAAGCAACGGCCTGATGGCATACCTAATAACATCTAAAAGGACACTGCATGCTACTGTTTACTCAGCAATATCTTTTCCTAGATCTTCATTGGCTACATGGGAAGCTTAGACATCCAACCTATATTGAAAGACCTACATATGGGTATTTTATCCTAAGCAAAATCTTAAACTTCTGGTCTGAAAACTAGTGTTCATAGGAAAAGGATTTTATGGGGTGAGTTAGGGGTCTATCCCCTTTGCAGTTTAGCCTCTTACATGCCACTACTCATCAAATAGGACAGTTTTTCTCAAGATAGCATTGTATTTCTTATAAAAAAGCCAACCCTTTTTTATTGAAATAATGCTGCAGAGTCTCATGGCAACTCTACTTTCAGTTCCTGATGAATATATTCTTCTCCATAGATGGGGATATACAGACCCAATTAATTTTCCAGTGAAGCTTATTGAGAGAAACCATTTTACAGAAAAGTTCTGACCAGCTCTCCTTGCCATGCTCCTGGGAGGGTGTATTTTTTTAGCCTCACTTTATGTAATGAGCATAAAAAGGCTGAGAGGTATCTTCTACTTTATCTTATATTTTTATCATTAACTTCCCTTGCTCTAATTTTGGTGGACTTTTTTTCTCTGCAAGTTGAAGTCGAAAAAATTCTAAGAAAGCTGGATAATTTCCCTTAGCTGAGGAAAGTAAATTTCAAGTCGAGGAGAAAATCTGATTTTACGTTTAAATCAGACATGACAGAGAGAAAGTTTAATGGCAAAGCATTTAAATGTGTTTCCTGAAAGTCAAATTTAGTTGCCTGATTTTTCAGACTGAGTTCCCACTGAAGTTCTTTCATTTTCAATATGATCCACACCTATGAAATTAGTTTCTTTCATTGTAACACTTTCATTTGGGTTTAAAAGACTAAAATTAAACA